GATAGATTTTTCAAAGGAGCTACAATATTAGCTCTTGCCTGAATCTGTCTGTCATCTATAGTTACACTATGTAGACAATTGTGTGTGTGTGTGTGTGTGTGTGTGTGTGCTTGTTTTAACCCGTATCTACTTTAAGTGAAAGGGGTGTTATTTATTAAGTGTTTCTCCATTTTAACAGATATAATTTTAAATGGCGTTATTAATGACCAGCAGCTGGATTTAGCTGTATCCGTCTTATACCAATCATCTGGGCTAAAATTTAATAAGTTATATCTGCAGTTTATGGGTATATCAGTCACACTTAAAAGCCAAATATGCACTTTGACTAAATATATAGGAGATCAGTGTGTTAAGTGCCACAAGCATTTAATAGTCAGTATAAGCCACATTCTTCTGAGTTTGGATGGATCCCTGGAGTAAAAATGTGAAGTAATATTCTCTCAAGGATCTCTTGTACAGTATGTATAACATTATTTTCCCATGCATTTTCTGCTTTGTCTCTTTACAAATGCATGAAAATGACCCGCATGTTTTTAACCCACGACTATTTCTACATTCATAAGTCATACAGTAAATTGGTTAATGTTATATCAAATGAACCAGATGTGAAATAAAACCTTCTACCAGGCCTGGAAGATCATTTGTTGACAGTCTACCTTCTTGTGGATATGCTAGCCTTTCATATTGTTGTCTTATTTGTTTTTAGGGATCTAAAGACCAAGGTTGAGAGGGAAGATACCAAGAAAGAGTTGCTGGGGAACCAGACCAGCCTGACTGAGTCTCATTGCATTCGATGTCTCCAGCCTTTTAAATTCCTGCTTAACAACAAGCATCAGTGCCTGGACTGCCAGCTCTACATCTGCAAGTCCTGCGGCCGCTATAACAAGAAGGAGGATGGCTGGGTGTGTGACACCTGTCACATGACCAGGTAGGTAATGACCAGTGTAAGAATAATTCAAAAGTGGCCATTCAAACTAAGTGTCATGTTGAATACAATAAATCATATATTTAACTGTAACTATAAATGCAGTGCAAGTTCAAGTTTTAAACCAGTCATTTGTGGACTACACACTGTCTCCATAAGCTTCATAAGCTTTGTGCTGACATGCCTTTAACCATGCTTAATAACTTGACCAGCGAGCTCTGGGATGTGTACCTGGGAAAGCACTTAATATGTTAGAGCCAGAAAAAGCTAAAGTCAAAAGAAGATTCCTCTTTTAATTTTCAGTGGGATTTCCTTCCACATGCATACATGGAAAGCCAGAGGTGGAGAGTTCAGCAGCAAGACACTCTACAAAGCAGGCATTAATCATAGTAAATGTGACAGAGAGTAGGTCAGAAAAAGCATGAAAAGAGGTGGTGGGCTGCAAAGAGGCTTGCAGCGAGCAGCACTTTTGACAGGTTCAAGACACATAAATAGCACAAACTGCTCAACATGACAATTGCCAACTGGTTTTGTAGATGGGTACCAGCTCTTCCATCTGCTGAACTGAGCGACTAAAGCTGAGATTGTGTATTTCTGGCCTGAACTGATGTTAAGCTTGATTTGCAAGTTGTGGTTTGCTGTGGCAGCTCAACATTTCTAAAAGTGAATTTATGTTTTTAGGACATTGTGTTCTTTCTTGATAAGATGAATAAAAATGAGCAAATAACACATTCAGATTACTAATAAACAAAGAGCAACCCATGTCCTGTCAGTAGTTAAAGAGCTTTGAGGCAACTGTTGTTGAATCAAAGGTTAAGCGTCAGGTTTGATGTGCTTTGATGGATGTTTGGCTGCTTTTTAAACAGATATTAAAAAAATCCTTTTTACTGCTTAGGCTCTGCTGGATGCAGCGATAGATTTCAATACATCCTGCTTGAAATCAGCTCCATATGGAACCATGATACCATTGTTTGTTCAGATGAAGCTGCATACTAAAAAGTTCTTTAATGGAGCTTGGCCAGTGTCTGGAAAGAATCATGTTATGTATCTCATGCTTAAACCTGCACACTGCTGTTTTATAGCAAAAGAGCAAAATACAGCTCTTTTTGCTGGCAAGTCATTATTCCCACAAGCATTTTCTATGTGATATTATGGGATAGTGTATAAATCGGCCTCAGTTGGGGCTCATTTCTCACCATGTGTTCTCATTTTAAACTTTTCACATGTAATGTTGTACTTTAATTAATAAACAAATAGAAGAAAATCTCTTAATATAAAATGCATATGCATTCATTTTCAGAATGAACCTCATCTGTGAATGACTTCTTTAGCATCTATATTTTGATACCTTCTATTCTTCTCACTTACAGAGTACTCAAGATCGGTACTTTGGAGTGGTACCATGAGAACGTCCGTGCCCGTTTCAAGCGCTTCGGCAGCGCCAAGGTGATGCGTTCCCTCTTCAGGAGGTTCGACGGAGAACACAGCCCCTCTCAGAGTGACTTAGGAGGTGAGCAATCCACCTTCTGTCTGGTTTGTTACTTAGTTTCAAACCAAGCTTATGTCTGAAATGTCATAATCCTGGTTCTGCTGCTGAAAATGTACATTTTTGCCAATCAGCGTACTGTCACGGTGGACTTTAAGCAAAAAGATTAACACCCCACTGACTAATTAGAAACTGCTTAGCAATTAGCAGTCAAACACTTGCTGCTCTGGGCAGTTGCCAAGTAGGGAATGTCTACATGAATATCCGAACAAGTGCAAATAAAAGGTTACAAATGTGTTGTAATGTCAAGCCTCAGGTCAAGGTGGCTTTGAAGGGGCAATCTTAAGAAATTTCCATCTGTTCCACTCATTTCTTTACAAGCCCTGAGGAGAAGCTGCCGGTCAAAAGTTCAATCTGCCAGAGTCAGAGAGCACTGACTCGAAGTCATGGAAGTCTGCTTGAGCTTACCATGAGAAATCCCCACTAAATGAAAGGCTTCACTGAGATTCAGCAGCTGCATACTATACTGCGGCTGCTTGGAAAATATGCATCACTCCAGCTCGACTCGTAAAACGTCACCGTGACGATCGCCATCTCATCTGTGAACTGTGTTTGAGTTCAAGAATTGGAGTTGTAATGTATATTATTATATTTCACTGGACAACAAAATGAAAGCTCTTCACAGTGATGCACGCAGACTGAAAGTAATGCTGTGCCCGGGCCTCTGCAATCATCAGATCCTCTCCATCAAAGAAAACGGCAAATTAGAGAATATTTTGAGACAATAGTGTTTATGGTGTTTGCAATGGCGCCAATCTTGTGGTCCAAGACGCTTTATGTCACCCTTGTCCTTTAATTTGTCAGCCATCTTTGTATGAGCATCTTTATTTTTCTGACACTGAGTCACCAGAAGAAAGTTTCTGCTCTCTTTCTCAAATATTAGCAGGCTGCCAGATCTGTCACAGGGATTTAATCTTCCATCTTTCCTGTTTTTCCTGCTTTCTGGCTCCTCGCAGCTGTATCTCTCTTTTGTCGTCAGCTGACCAGGATGCTTATTGTAACTCTGCCCTGCAAGAGATTATTACCAGAGATACTAAGGTGGAGGAAAATGCTGTTTGTTTATTGTGTGCAGCTCAGGTTTAAAGTCTGATCCAGTGACGCTATTAGGCCTCATCAAAACCATTTTTTCCTCTCTTTTTGAACTTGCTCACGCTGCATTGCGAGGCCACACCCACAGCATATGAAACAAGTGATCCTTGAAGCATACTTTATGTCAGTTTCAAGCATTATTACTCACAACAGATTACCCTTTGAGATCACCACACCAGGAGATGAGTGAATGTGATGAATTATATAGAAACAGCCGAGACCTCTGGTACTGTTTACGCTGAGTCACCCCTGAGGATTTTGGGAAGGAATACAGAGCAAGTTGGTTGGCCGATGCAGCTCCCGTGGGCCCTCTGATAATTCACTCACATGTCTCCCATTCTGTGCCTGGAACTGAAGGATTCGGTCCTGCAGGGCTCGTCCAACCAGAAGCAGAGCAAAAGTGGAGGGAGGAGGACAAAACGTTTGTCGTGTATATATGTGGAATCTAGCACACAGTGTCCACAGATGCAAGCTGTAGCCATGAAATACAGTCATAAAAATGCATGTTAACAGATGTATTATGTTTAAAATGAACTCAGCATGTGACCACTTGGACTGAAATCAACATGCATTTCCACACACACGCACACATTCTTTTACTGTCTTTTTGCTGTATGCATTCGATGGTCCGCTGGGCCCCCAGAGCTCGGAGGGTGTCATCCTGTCCTCACACTCTTTGCTGATACTTACAAAAGAGTCTTGTTCACATACAAAAGTCTAATTCAGTCCACTGGCTAACTCTCACTTTGGCTCTGCCGTTTAATGCTGCTACTGCTGCTTCTGATTATTGTTTTATGTGGAAAGTATAAGGACTACCTGTATTATCTCAGTTTGCTGAGCTATTTATTGCAGTTAATAACCTAATGTCATTACGTCTAGATTTGCAATTAGGAGAACAATGTGATAGTAATTACAGGAATCGGATCACTTATATGAAACTATAATTAAATGCAAATTAATAAGCCATGTGCGCGCTGCTCTTCTGTTTTCCAGAGCCTCGTGAGTATGACACACAGAGCATGCCTGAGGTCCACAGTAAGTATACTGAAAAGGTCAGATGCTGTCACAAGACAGAAATATGTTTGAATTTCCAAAATTTAAATATAACCAAAAGGTGCTTTCATTATTTTAGTATATTCTGCTTTGATTTGGTGGATGAATGACTCACCGGGCCTTCTGTAAACATGATCAGAAAGCTCATTTCTAACTTCTATTCACTATTTTCAGAGATTTGTATGGGTTCGTATGAGTAATGGACTCATTCTGTGGTCAGGCAAAAAGTTTCTGACATTAAGATATAAAACTCGTTCAGTGAATCTGTTCAGTGATTGCTTTCTGTGCATTACCTGTTTGCCTGGCTGTGTTTATTTGATTGTAATTGTACAACAGAAAATTTTAAGGCAGGTTCTGTTTTAGTACCTGTTTTGTTTTCATTTTGATTCACCTTAACTGTTCTAAATAAATCTATTTTTCACCATTTTACCACTAATAAGAGTCAATTTGAGCCCAATTACTTTTTCCCTAATTCAGCCCCATGTGTGGTCTCTACATTCTGGATACATATATTATTTAACTGTTACCTTAACATTTAACAGGAACATCTGTGATGATAATTGTAAGCATAACGATACAGTACATAAGAGAGGTTCATTTTCGTTCATTTACAACAATCCCTTTGGTGTTTTTGAATGCCTCACACAGGCGGTGGGCACAGCGGTTTGGGAACAGACCTAAAGGTTCTGGTTAGTCTGGCACAGTCATCTGGCTCCCATTGCCACTGGCATATCAACAGTATAAGAGCAGAGCCAGGGAAGGTTTAGTCAGAAAGACTCAAGAACATAAAAAGTGTAACTTATGTTACGAGGTTATTGTAGTTGTATTTCCACAGTTTAGTGTGCGTCACAAGTTTTTTTTTTTCTGCAGATAATTTCTGCAAAATGTAGCAAAAGCCCCAAAATTAGTTCAGCAGTTAACAGTGAGAACTAAAAGACTAATCTAAAGATATGAATGTTCATCTTTTTTTGCTTTTATGCTCAGTGTAAAGTTTTTGTTGTTCCCAGCATTTTCTTCCTTCTTTCTCGTGTTGTATTCAAGAGGGAACTGTTACACACTGCAAAAATGCAGCTCCCTCATAAACGCGCTCATAAAGAGGGACTGAAACACAGTCCATAGTGTTTCTGCTTTTGCTTTCTCTTGCTGTACTTTGTAAACAAGGTTCACACTGTAAGGTCAAAGGCCACTGGTTAACAATAACAGGGGTCTCTGTAGTCTGGAGTGACTCTGGTTTCAGTCACATGGTATCTTTGTAAATGCATGCACACTGGAAAACAAAAAACCTTTTCTTGGTTATTATAACACTGCCATGTCTTCCTTCTTTATCTATAGGTGCATATGGGGAGCACAGTATGGATGCAACAGACTCACAACAACACCAAAGGGTACGGCAGCTCATTTTTAAATTATTTTCATATTTTAAAAGAACTAGCAGTAGATTCCCCTCGATTTTAACAACTATCTGAAATCATTTTAAGGGCAGCGTTACTAAATGTTTGAACAATGTTGAGAGTTGGAAGGAAAATTAAAAGTGATGGAAATTAGGAAACACCTTCTGAGGTCATAGTAAAGACATTTGTTTGGATCTAAATTTGGTTAAAATGTGGAAGGACACAAATTCCTCCTAAAACTCATAGATTAAACTCAGAGCCTTCTTCCTGTGGAACAGCAGTGCTAACCACTGCAATAACTTGCTGGCTTACCATGTTACATCAGTCATTTTTGACTGTCCAGCTCACAATGCAGCCACAACTTACATGTAGATTTTATACATTTATGCATGTTGTTAAGCTTTGTACAACTCAGGCAATGCTGGAGTCTATTCCAGTTGTCACTGAGCAGGATGCACCCTGGACAGGTCAGCAGTCCATCACAGTGCTAACTCATAGAGAACAACAATCATTCATCTTTTGATGAGAAGAGATCATTTAGAAGAACTGAACATGATTTATTGAGATAGACAAATTGTTGTCTTAGATGAGTAGACTGGTGACCCATCACAGCAGAACAGAATCCCAGTGGTCTTGACGCTGGTGGTGAAGATGAAGGCAAGGCAAGTTTATTTGTATAGCACAATTCAACAACAAGGTGATTCAAAGCAAACAAACTAACTAATTAACAAACAAACAAACAAAACAGTATATAAAATCAAAACAGATAAAATCAGAACAGTAGATAAAATCAGTAGTTAAAATGTAAGTTTTGAAATTTAAGCTTAAGTGCGGATTTGGTGCTTTATTCAAATGCAGCTGAGAACAGGTGAGTCT